GCCGTGAAGCGGCGACCGGACTTACCAGCTACACCTGCCACGAGCTCCGGTGCCAAAAGAAGCTTGGCTTGGACAGAGGAGCTTCGTGTGAGTTGGCTGGTTTTCAATCATTTGTGTGATTAAATTATACTTGCAGAGAAACTCCCAACATGTTTTATTGCCTAAGGATATCGACAGAGGACAGACTGATGTCATATTAGTAGGTTCATAGATCATTGGATGAAGTGTGTGCGTGTGTGTGCCATTGTTGCTTTGCCGATCAAGAAATAAGGAAGCTTTCAGAGTGCAGAGAAAGAACAGAGGCACAAAGTTGCCAGATCGGATGATGCTTGGATTTTGTTGGTCGCCATATATTTGGTGTTGTTCGTCCTGTGGGAATCTCCTGGTGAAACTTTAAACCAGCATCTGTGTCAAACTCCCGCTTTCAGTTCAGCATGTGTCATTTGTTGAACCTGTTTCTTTGCAGACCTACCATTTCCTACAGCCTACAGCTACTGAAAACGAGTTTGTTTCTTTCACTGTTTCTTTCACTAGGAAAGCGTGTCTCACTGTGACACATATATATGGGGGCCGAACTCCGCCAGGAAATTGCACAGAGCACCGTGGAGCTTCCCAGAACGCGGAGCTTCCCAGAGCAGTCAGGATGCTTCCAAAGGTTGGCTCAGGCTCCCCAGAGCAAACCTGACCAGCCGCTGATCATACACATGTGTAGCTGCAGTGATGCGTTTTGGTCCAAAACCATTGCAGGTACATACAAGCTTTCCGGTTCCAATCATGGCAAGCCGATTTACAAAAGGAGCGGACCTCGAAACATTTTGTTCATTTACTACTGGGATAACAGGGATGGAGCACACTACTCTGGTTGGTGGTTTGGCTCAAGTGTTGGTGGGTGCAATGTATGCGCCTTCAACCCAGACTGTCAAAAAGACAATCCTTTGGTGCCGGCAACGTTTGGTTGGAAAGTTCCCGCTGACGGCCCAGTGGACGAGGGATTCCGGATTATCATTGGGGGTCAGTCATGTCTCCCGACCTCAATCCAGGCTGTTACTCCAGATGTTACAATGATCACGACCTCCAATCAGAAGTTTGGGACTGTTGGGCCAGCTCATGCAGCTGATTTGGCCGAAGAAGGAAAGCAGGAGAGCACAGCTTCTCCAGAGAACAATGAAACGGTACAGGAGATGCAAAAGTCAGCTGCCGTGGTCGGGGAAAGGCCTGAGTGGTCAGTGAAAGGTGTTTTTAGAAACATCGAAACTCATTTAATCACCATTTACAAATTTACATATATTACACATGTGTTTTCCATTTTCAGCCTCCTCAACATAGACAAGAATCACATCATATTTGAGCAAGTGTTCGTCATTTGTGAGTGTCTCAAGGTGTTTCATTTTCTTGAAGACGATGACTTCTGGGTCTTAGTATATGTTTAGTCCTGGAAGGTGTTGGGAGAGCGATCTTCAATCAGAGAGGAGGATGCGGATCGCAGCCGATCAACGACTTGCAAACTTGCAGGAGAAGGTCCAACATCTTGAAGAAGCTTTGAGCAGGGAGAAGAGATGCTAGGCCCTGCATATATATATATATATATGCATACTATAAATGTTGATTGCTCAGAATCCCTTTTGTTCCAGCTTTTTCAATCTCCCGGGCACCTGTCTTGCCTAAGGAAACAATCAATGCCTCGAATGTGCTTTAGAGAAGGAGCGAGAGCAGCGTCAGATGGCTGAGAAGCAAGTGATGGACTCAGAAAAACAACATCAGAAGATGCAACAGCTGCAAGAAGACCTGACCACACGCCTGGAGGAGCAAAAGCGACTCTCCAGCATGGCCAGTAGTTCTGGTGCATGTTGGCAGTTTCAGGAGAATGGATGCTGGCATGCTGTGCCACCTGAGGGGAATGACCAAATGACTCAAGCTTATTTGGTGTATCTTCGTGATCCATCTCCCTACAATCGCTTCGCGACCATCAATGCCGCTGGTGTAGACCGCGAGGTGGACTTCCAGCTTTTGATACAAAAGCGGTGCGACACCAACAAAGTTCGCTGGATTCGCATTTTGCCTGGTGCGCCGAATCAGTGGGTCTCCACCCCTGCTTGCTTGCTACAACAAACTGATCAATTGAACCAGTTCTACATCAAAGTGACAGATTCTCAAGTGCACGACAAAGTTCGAGAAATTCTGCAATCAACGGGCCACGGGCATGACACGTCCCAATTATGTTCTTGTATGAGGGCGGCGACGGTCAAGTCAGTGCACCGGATTGAAAACTTGAGGCTTTGGCATGGATACAAGCAAAGACGCGAAGCCTTGCGCAAACAAAATCTAAGTAACAATGTTTCTGTCGCACCGGCAGCCTTAGATTTGGATGCGTTTGATGGCTTCAGCAAGGTCATGACACACAACCAAAATGTGTTTGACTGCGGCGAAGCGTTGGCAGCAGATGTGGACGAGAAGATTCTCTTGCATGGTACCAGCTGGGACAGTGCAAACTCTATTGTTCTGAACGGCTTTGACCATCGGACATGCCATCGTGGCATGTATGGTGATGGGGTCTACTTCGCATCTGCGGCTTGCAAATCACACCAATACACCTGCCAAGATCATAAGTGGGGCTGTTGCTGCAAGTGTGAGCGGACTTTGATCATTGCGCGTGTGGCACTTGGGGATGCATACTATGCCAAGGAAACAAGACGCAATGAACGGAGGCCGCCAGTAAGAAGCAGCACATGTGGCGTGACATACGATTCCATTGTGGTCAACCCGGGTCCGATCCATGGTCACCACAATTCCCTGCAGGTTCACCAGGAGTTTGTGATTTGCGACAGGGAGCAGGCGTATCCTAGCTATGTAGTTCAATACCAGTTGTGAGTTTCCTTAGAGATAAAGTCGACAAATGTTGACACTTACTCTCAACCCGCCTTGCCTGAAAAGTCTTAGCGCAAACGCTTCACTTGCTGCAGCCTTTGTGTGCTTCTGTTCACTCCTGGGTCGTCAGGGTCGGCCATTCAATACGCTGCAGTTCCATGCCGGAATCGTCGGAATGGTGTTTTTAGATCCGCAGTGAGTGGATGTTCACTAAGGAAGCCTGTACTGCTGGTATATTATCCAGAAACTCCATGGAACTGGCATATTTACCTCCTTTGGCGTGGTCGATTTCAGGTGTCAATGTACATATGCTCTACGAAACCGTAAAACCCCAACAAAAACACATCTTAACGATCACCATCCCTCTTTTCGTGGGATCTAATAGACTTCGGCCTGGAGGCGAACGCGCCGCGCCTCGCTATACCGATCCACGCAGGTCATCAAGATGTTCGCCTCGAACGCCAGCATTGGCTTGGGACCCCGGACGGAATCCGAAGCCGAACGGATCCGTGAAAACGAGGGACAGCTGAGGATCAAAGATGCCCCGGGGGCTCCAACTACCTGAGAAGGTGGTTTGGGTGTGAGCTGTGAGGAAGGTCTAACCACCTTCTGAGGATGTGTGGCAGGAGCCCTAGGGGATGATCAAATCGTGTGGTTTAGGGGATGATCAAATCGATCGAATGGCCATGGGTATCCAAGGTTGGCACCCTCAGACCGAATGGTTTTTCCCAGGGTTTTTGAGGGGCGGAAATCGCGGACCGTGGAGCAGGGGCTCCAGGTTTTGACCTATATCTCCAAATCAAATATCATCCATGGGCAGTTATCATCCATACGGGTGGAAGGGAGGTGTCTCTACTTGGGACATGCCACACGATGTGCTTGATTAGAGAGGCACCCTATATTTCAGTCAACACCTATAAGTCAAGGCCGACTTTCCTAACCTTTTGCATCGTTCCACAAGTGTGTCAACTGAAAGTGTGGCACTTGAAACCTTGACGTTCTCGGAACGATACCGCCGTCTCCGACCATTTCGCGCTGGAGCATCCCAAGATCTACCAAATCCGGACTGGACATGACTGGACCATTGACCGGGTGCCGTACTGAGATCCGCTTTGCCCAGCCTGGTGATGAACGGATGCCCCATGAAAGGATGCCTAGAAAGTAAAGCCTGGGTGCAGGCAAGAAGTACGCCAATCTCTTGCAGCAAATCACCTGCGGGCGGCTGAACCCTGACGGCGACTTGCTGAGGACCGGGAAAAATGTTTGACAACCAACACAGCCACCAGATTTGAAGATGTGCCCGACAAAATGTTTAAGCGTTTGCCATCACACATGAGTTGGAATTTCTGAAGGGTGCAGACATGTGTCCATGTTCAAAGCTATTCAAGACGGCTCGTGGAGGTGTTGGAGTGCAGGTTTCATTTTCATGCATGTTCATAGATGTAACTGGTGATCGCTCTGAAATTGGTGGACTATACAGGAAGATGTAGTATATAAGATGCCTGTTACTATACATAACATTGTTCAGCATAGGGTCTAGTCTTCACTAGTTATTGACAACTGGGACTGAATCAGGGAGGATTGATATTGATATGGAGTTATTTGTTTTGGTTTGGGGAACTTCCCCAACATTTGGATTTTCATGCTGCATGGTTGTTTGAGGAGGCACGAGTCTTTTCGTTGACATGCAGGTCAAAACGGTGTGTTCCTTGGTTCTGGTCAGCAGGTGTTAAATGTTCAATGCACCCAATGCATTGCCCTGATGTTCCAATCTACACGTATGCACGATATTCCAATGACATTTTACTACTCTAGAGATCCAAGTACCTATACATAACAGTAACAGTGTCTTCAATCAGCTTTTGAGAAGGTACTTGGATCCCTAGGGATACCTTGACCCTGTCCACAAGTAATGCACGATATTCCTATGCTCCTATGGAATACCTCGACATCGCTGTCGAGCGTTTCAGGAAGGTGCTGGTTGATTGAGAGTGCAACGTCTGGACCTGAAAGTAGACATCCGCCCTCGGACATCTAACTGGGTTCATGCATGAGCAGGTGCAATACGGTCGATCTGACATTGCCTGGGGCTCGCTGCCGACCCAAATCAATGACTCGTATCGTTACGTGAAACCTAGACCAGAAACCACAGCAAAAGACCCGATGCTCGCGACTGCCTAGTCCGCATCCACTGCATAAATCAGTAGCCTGGAGCCTCCATTAATTGGTGGAGCCGCCGTGTACCGCCGCCAGGATCCAAGTGCAGCAACTCTTGGATGCTGTTCAGGTCCATCAGGAGATCTCTGGCCAGGCGGAGCGATGCCGTTCGGGACATACGACGGCATGCCGAACTTCATGGGATTGATTGGCCGCAACGGAAGCGAACTTCATTGCAATTGGAGCGAGAACATCACTTCGTTCAACCTCGTTCGATTTGATTTCAAGGCATCACTCCTCACATCTTCAACTCAGCAAGAGCACGAGAAAGTCACGGCATAGATGGTCTTTTACTATTAGGTTGGAGGAGATACACCCAAGAGAACAACCTATGCAAAGGTTTCTGATACCAGACTCCAGATTGACCCCTCTATTTGTCCCAAAAGGACATCATGGAGTCACAGCATCATGTTCATCTCCAACTGCCCATTTGGTGTGTTTGTGCTCGGTGAATCAAGCAGTTGCCAGCACGAGTCCGGTGACAGGCAAAGTTCTGCCCACGGACCCGTCACCCGAACTCATCGGACCACGGTCACCACGGTCCAGGTGCAAAAGCGGCGGAACGGGCTCTCTCCACCACACTCCTCGTTCAGCACCGCATCTTTGAAGGTGCGTTGTCCCAGTTGGTTTTCTGGCCGTGTCTTTTGACGTGGAGACAGAACAGACACTGAAAAAACGAGACAAACAGTTAATGGGTTGACATGTTAGGGTTGGAGGGTTGTGAAATGATGTGAACCACTTGTAGGCCACACATGCAGCACGAGCAAACCGTATTTAATATGAGGAAGTGCACATGGCATCTCGTCTGTCCTACAGAATACTCATGGATACTGAGCTTCACTTCAGAATACTTCAGATATATCTTCATGAAACCTCATGAAGCCATCAAACCTGTAAGAGCGGCCCTGGTCTTCTTGCCTTGAGTTGCACATTCAGATCTCATTTGTTTGAATGACTGCCACATCAAAAACCGATCCATGAATCCATGACATCATACTACTACTTCGGGGTCGAACACTAGTTTCCTTTGCGCATGCTCTGAGAATGCTTTCTCTGCTTTGTCGCAATATTTTTGTGACCTGAAAGCAGACGGCTTGCTACCCTGGTACCCCAGTAACCTACAGCAAGTATTTTGCACATTCGGAGCGTGTTCCACCACGGCAATAAATTGCGTATTTACTGTCCTGCATATTCGGATTGTCGACATCCCTTTTGACATTCCCGGGTGGCTGAGCGAACATTGGCGGACCATTAGGTTTGACCAGCTCTTCCAGATAGCCTGCACAAAAGCATAGCTCTCAGTGTAGCACTACAAGTGTGAGATCATCTTCTGAACTCATTGATGTTGCGGGTAGGCTTGCAGATCCCAGATCCCAAATCTGTAGAGACACATGTTGCTAGAAACTGACTAGAGCATGCAGTTACAGGATAAACTCTTGCCACCTAACTTCAGACCTGTTGAAACCCTGCCGGGGATGTTTCCTCACTTGCGTTCACAGTCGTGTTCCTTCCATGACACCACACGGTCCATGTCTGGCACCTCCGTGGATGGCGGACCCTCCGGGCTTCCAGTGCTCAGGGCGTCCGTTCGCGCACGGAGAGCGACCCCTCGGTGGCGGAGGAGCGTATGTTGTTTTCCGGTCGAAGGTGGGGAGGAGGAGCGCTTGGGGAGGCATTTGGGGTTGTTTTGGCCATATATCATTGATGTGGGGATCTGGTTTCGGATGTCTTTGGAGGAACTAACTCGTTTGTCTTGGGGGGCAAATGGTTCCAAAGGGTTGCTGGAAATCAGCCTTCTTGCGCTTGGGTTCGTTGGGTCCTTGGGGCTCTTTTTCGGGGCCAGTCGAATCCACACCTAGTCTGGATCTAAGAAACCGGGTAGAGCAGATGGGGAAAAGACCCACAATGACGCACACGTTGCTTCCAAAAAAATTAGACCATGGAAGGCTTTGATGCTCCGCACATGTTTGACGCATCTTCAGACCTGGTGATCTATGGCATGTGATGGCATGTGATGGCTATGACTACGCAAAAAAAAATGCAAGCAATGAAACTCGCTGTCTACTAAGGGCAAGGGCAAGGTCAGAAGACTCATTCTTTAGAGAAACCTCTTGATTGAAAATGGAAGGCAAATCATGATCCCCCACATCCCCCGAGGAAAAGATCAATGCATTGCTATACGGACTGCTTTTGGCAGTTCCACTTTTTGTATATTCTAGTTGATCGAGTTGAAACACGAAACACGTCATAACTAGTTGTCGTTCCCAGTGGCCTTTGCCGTTTGTGCCCGTCGCGAAAGCAGGAGAAGGAGAAGGGTTTCGAGGTGGTGATCTGGGAACGGATTCAGGCTCAGAGTGGCGAAAGCTTCAGGTGAAAATGCATCAAACTTTGGACGAACGCCACGAATTCAAATCCCACGCTCTCAAAAACCCCGGTGCTCTCGGAGGACGCGATAAATTCTCGACCCTCTTGTGTTTCTTCACACCATGAAGAGAGGGTCTTTTCAGCGAAGCGAACGCGCCAAACGTGCCATGCGGAATTCAGCGTGTTCAACATTGACATGCCATGCTAAAGCAAACATCACCTGAACATGTTCCATTCCAGCCACAGGAATCCGGAACATGGTTTACCTTCCCGCCTTCCTGAACGGCCAAAAATTGGTCGACTGAGAGTCTAGCGGGCCCTGCGTCGAGTGCAGGGCTTCATCGGGCCCTATCTCAAGGCCATTGCAGACTGGTGGGAAGGCCGGACTGAGACCGAGACCGAGACCACGGTTGCCGCGATAG